TTGCTCGAACCTTGGAAGATTAACAAGGATAACCCACAAGGTCTTCATCCTAAAGGTAATATTCTACACCCTAACCCCTAATTTCGAAATTATCTAAAAATGGGTAATTAGCAAGATAATTTTTGGGCATGAGGGTTGGTTATTTTACATGCATGTGATATCAAGGGGTGTAGGAAGATTGTTGAACTAAGCATGGTAAAGAATGGGCTGTGCATTAAAAATGTTCGACTTCAAGTCAAATTCAAACGAAGACTATTATGCCAAATTTTGTGAAGAATCTCTATGTGCCTTAGAATCTTAATTGGTCACAGGTGTACTACACACCTTGATTTGAATTGTTGTTGTTGGTAATGATGATGTTGAAGTTGGAAAGTGAAAAGGTGAGCATGAAATACTAAATACAGCCAACGTGCCAATAATGATTTATAATTATGGCCATTAGTGCTAATGAAATGAAAATATGTGAAAGAAGTATGAAATGCGATGATTGGTATAAAAAGGTTGATGTCTCGAATAAGACAGCCTAGCCGATCGGGTCGTGATCGGACACCATATTGCACACATGGTGGTGATTGTGCTGGAAATTATAATTAAAATGGTGATTGTGGTCGATGTCCCTAATGGATATCCTAGCCGATTGGGTCGTGATCGGACACCATATTGCACACATGGTGGTGATTGTGCTGGAAATTATAATTAAAATGGTGATTGTGGTCGATGTCCCTAATGGATATCCTAGCCGATTGGGTCGTGATCGGACTCCGTATTAAAGATGATGGCATTGATATTGAGAGCAATTGTGGTTGGTGTCTCTAATGAGATAGCCTAGTCGATCAGGTCGTGATCGGACTCCAAGCTGAGAGTACGATGGTATTGGTATTGTGAATAATGGTATTGTGAACAATGGTATATCGTTACTAAAAATCTCCCAATATGATATATGGAAATTAATTTGAACACTGTCTTGATCCTAAGTTGAGGTTTGATGTTGTTTAAGGCTTCCATTGATATTATGATATTCTTGTTTGTATACTTCATTTTTCTATTTAGAGGGTGTTTTATCATTCATACTAGTACTATTCCATATGTACTAACGTCCCTTTTGATGGGGGCGCTGCATCTTCAATGGATGAAAGTGGTTGCACAGTAGGAGACACTGATCAGTGATAACGGTACACTCTCTTCCCAGCAGACTTGGTGAGCCCCACTTCATTTTGGGGTCATGTATCTTTTGTTCCTCGTGTATTGTGTTTGAGGTATAGCCGGGGCCTTGTTGCCGGCAGTATCATAGCACTCTTTTGTATCTATTAGAGGCTCCGTAGACATAGTATGGGTTGTGTATTGGTCCTGGAAAAGTCAAACTATATTATGTTGTGGTTGTATTACTTGTCCATTTGAGACTTTAAAAATGATGAAAATATTGGTAATGAATTGGTATTGTATACATAACACCTTTTGTCTAATTATTGAAAATATATATTATCTCCATTTTTGGATGATTTTGGGTAGAAAGAAATCTAATAGGCTTGCTCGGCCGGGTTCACTCAGTTGAGCGTCGGTCGCGCTCCCTGGTTTTGGGGCATGACAGTGTCGGTCTCCTATTGTTTGGTTTGAGCCTGGTAAGGCTTGGTTATTGGGTACTGATTTGGTTCATGATGCTTTGGAGAAGGTGAAGGTTATTCAGGCGTGACTTCACACAGCACTGTCCAAATAAAAGAGTTATGCGGATAGGAAGGTCCGTGATGTGGCCTCCATGGAGACTGAGAAGGTTCTTCTTAGAGTTTCACCTATGAAGGGCATAATGAGATTTGGAAAGAAGGGTAAGTTGAGCCCTAGGTATATTGGCTCATTTAAGATTTTATAATGAATTGGTGAGGTTTCTTACAAGCTTGCTTTGTCACCCATCTTGTTGGGAGTTCATTTGGTATTTCATAATTCCATGGTCCGAAAGTATCATGAAGATAAGTTGTATATTTTGCACTTTAGCACGGTGCAGTTAGAAGAGAGTTTGGCTTATGAGGAGGATCTAGTGACCATTTTGGATAGGCAGGTTCAAAATTTGAGGTCAAAAGAGATCGCATCGGTGAATGTGCTTTGGAGAGGCCAACCGAGTGAGGAGGATACTTGGGAGACCAAGTCAGATATATTGAGTAGCTATCCACACCTTTTGAGCAGCTCAGGTATGTCTCTAAACCCGTTCGAGGAGGAACATTTGCTTAAGAGGTGGAGAATGTAACGACGCTATTTGATGCTTCTTATATGTATTGTTTTGATGTTTTATGACTTGATGGGATGGTTGGTTTAGTTTCGAGAAGTTTTTCCCACCGAGCAGCCAAAATGAGGCATGTTGACAACATAATGGTACTCAATGGAGGAAGAATTGTAGAGGAACATGATACTCTAATGGCAAAAAATGGCTCGTATGTATGCTTGATGCAACCTCACTTCGAGAAGGGGTTGCGTTAACAGTGACTTTGTTAAATAGAAATGATGAGAGCCTCTAATATCTGTAATCATACTATATGTCGCAGAAGAACTTGCCAATTTTCCACTATGTTGGGAACTACGGCAAACTCCCTCAAAAATGGTGCTCTGCTACTTGGAAAAGATTAAACGCTGGAAATGATAAAGATATCTGATCATATTTTTTACTAAGGTTCAAGAAGTGAAACTGATAGTTTGAATGATCCATTCCTCAAATTAGTTTAGGAAGGGGTCTTTTTCATTCTGTTAGGCCAGAAGATAGGATGTCGGTGCTTGAGCCACATGAGTAGGCCATCCACTAGCTGTTAGAGTCACTCCTCTTACTCCCAGAGTTACTTATCTTTTGGTATGTGTACAATTAGCTAGTTTGGGTATGGTGGGTCCCTGTTTTATCCAGTACTTGTTCAGTTCAACACTCCTAGAGGCCTGTAGATATGCACCTGCGCAGTTAGTATATTTTTATATGTCAGCCTTGTCGGCTTTTCAGATTGTACTATTCTTATCAGCTATGCTTATGCTTGTTTAGTTTATCAGTTTATATTCCTGATTAGTACATTATCAGTGGGTTTAGTGATGATCGGCACTTAACATCAGTTATCCATCGCGGCCCTAGGTTAGGTCATGATATTTGGAATGCCTGCAATTTCTTCTTCTTCTATTGTTGAAATATTCTCATATTGATGGTTAGTATCAATGAATATTACATGAATAGATTCTTCTGCAACAAGAGTACGCTTATTGTAAATTCTATATTCTCTAGTAGAAGAAGAGTAACCAAGAAATATACCTTCATCACTTTTAGGATCAAACTTACCAATGTTGTCCTTACCATTATTATGAACAAAACATTTGCATCCAAACAGATTAAAATAGCTTATATTATTTGGCTTCTTGCATTTTCAAAGTTCATAAGGAGTCTTTTTCAAGATTGGTCTAATCATGCATCTGTTGATAATGTGGCAGGCTGTGCTTACCGCTTCTGCCCAGAAATAATGTGGTAAAGAACTTTCTGCAATTATTGTTCTGGCTAAGTCTTGAAGAGTTCTATTCTTCCTTTCAACTACTCTATTTTGTTGAGGAGATCTTGGAGATGAGAAGTTATGAGTAATTCTTGTTCATTGTAGAATGCTTCAAAAGTGTTGCTTTCAAATTTTCCCCCATAATCACTTCTTATAGCAAAGATGTAGTGACCTCTTTCCAGCTGGACTTTCTTGCAAAAAGCTTCAAAATTAGTTAGTGCCCCATCCTTCGTACTCAGGAAAATAAACTAGGTGAAACGAGAATAATCATCAACAATAACAAAAGCATATTTCTTGTCATTTATGATAGAGGTCCTAGTGGGTCCATAAAGGTCCATGTGTAATAGTTGCAAAGATTTTGATGTAGAAACAATATCTTTTAGTTTAAAAGATGATCTGGTCTATTTTCCAATTGGAATGCATCACAAATATAATCTTTTCAAAAATTCAGTTTTGGAAGATCAATGACCAGATTTTATTTTGAAAGTTGTCAATGGAATGCATGCTAGCATGGTCTAATTTCATGTGCCATATGTATACGGCCGAAACCGGCCTCATCTATTGCATGACGGATCGGAACCGAAACGTGATGGATTGAAGATCGACCCCAGGATCCATCGAACCAAAGAATGAAGTCAGAACATACATCTCCAAGATCTTCGAGCCCGTGACTTCGGAATCGATCCCGATTCTGATTAAGCTCGAGAAACAATTATCGGACCCAATAACGGAAGACTGAAGTATCCGCAACCGGCCGGATATCACGGCGGGAATCTCGACACGTATCAACAAAAGACCGACTAATTAGCAAATCACGAGATTTCTTATCTATTATAAAAGGGGTCTAATTCTTTGTAAAAGGGTGACACGCATCCCAAAAGCATTATAATATTATTTTCTTTCTGCAAGATACTGTTCTTTTGTATTTGACATTATTTGGATCATGTTCAGTTCGAGTGAAGTCTATTTCTCAAGGCTATAACTATTCAAGTCTCACGGTTTGAATTTACTTTGTTATTGTTTGCTTTATTTATAGTTCAATCCATCGCTTTGTGTCAAGTTAGATCATGTAACCTTAAAATCGCGTATAAATTCAATTGTTATAAGTTTTCGAGGATATACACCATAACCAAGGGTCATCAATCATGGATGCTAAACAAATATGATTATCAAGGTTAACTACTTTGTTGAGAGTAACTAATGTCATCAAATATCCATAATACAAAATAATAGTTAGTCTATAACATTTCTCTAACTCTTGATCATAAAGAAGTCTCCCACATATTAAATCTCTTAGTATCATAGCATATGACATGAAATGATAAAATAAAGTGAGTAAAATCTCGTTCATCAAAGTTAAAGCAAACAAAGAAAACGAAAAAAGTTAGTAGGCAAGAAAAATGGAGTTTTAGTTTTACAGCAAGCAAATGTATACCATTTGAAAACACCTAATAATGTATTGAAATCTCTTGCTTGTTTCCAGTCTTGCATCTGAAGAACAAAGTTTCAAAAATTTATCAAATGGATTAATATCAGGACAACGACACTTCAAAATCAAAGAACAGAGTATCATTTACTAAAATAAGGAACCAAGCGTGCGGCCACGACTAGTTTATCTCTCTAGAGAAGTGTTTAGTCCCAGTAATAAATTTGAGCCCTGGTATTGATTAATTAAAGCCAAGGATTTAGTTGCAGCTATTTTAGGGAGAAGATTTCTATTTGGACATAACTATCATACCCATTGGGACCAATAGATCAAATTACAATTCGTTGTCCATAAGATAAAAATGAGAAGATTATTGGTGAATGTGAAGAACTAACTTTTCTTTACAAAAATTTAGAAACAGAGACCATGTATATCTAAGATTAAAACGCACATCTTAAATTCTCATTAAGACATCACTATGGAACCATCTGTTCAACATACTCAATAGCTTTATAACAGATTAATATTAGCTCTACAACGACTATAATGGATCCAAAAATGTAGTCACTCACTCTAAGAGTTCTTAATTTACCACCTTCGCCAAACACACGAAAACAAGAAAACATCACAACTACAAATAAGCTAAAACAAGAAAATATAACGAAATATATTTTTCTTGTAAGTGAAAATATAAAGAAACTCTCTCTACCTTCATTGCTTCAGTGAGTTTCCTATCTTCCTCGTCTTATCCATTTTTTCACCTCCAGAATTTTCAAAAGGTTCATTCTATCTTAGTTCAATGATAATTTGTTGATATAATTTATCACTTTTTTTAAGTAAATATACTACTAGGTTATTCACCTAGTAGCTGTTATATATAATAAATCCGAAATTGGGTAAAAGTTACACAGTGTTCTATTGAACTACAAGCAATACGACAAAGAAAGCTAATGGCTATTGCTACCAAAAATAATGTAGCTTTAGCGAAATGAAAAATGGAAAGCAAAAAGCTAGAAATTTGAAACGTCCAATTGTTGCTGACGACAATCAATTCACACACCAGTTGCAAATAAATTCATGTAGTAAAGCAAAGTTCGGACATCTTCGCTTTGGGGCTGAATAACTGAAATCCCAACTGCAATGGTCGTGGAGAGAACTGAAGTATGAGGTATTTTTGATTGAGACATTGTTTGTAGTGGCTTATTCCCCTTAACCAAACAGTTAAAACAAACAGCCGAACACTAAGCAAGCCAAACATTTCCTTTCCAGTAGTAGTCACATGCACACTGCTAGAGGTCGCGTTGAAGTCTTTGTTGTTTCCAGTGTATTGATGTGTCCCAATTTTTTACACCTGTTGTATTTCGGAAGATTCTTTGTTGTAGAATTGTTGTTGTAAGTTGTTGTACAACCCCCAGAATGAGCATGGTAAGATGCTAATACAACAGGGAAGTTGAACGACAACAAACATACAGCAATTAGCTTCAAAATCATACCTGCGACAATAATGTGTTGTGGTGTTGTTACCTTTGTAGTAGAAGTGTTGCAGTTGTAATGTCAATGAACAATTATGTATTAGTGCTGCTGAAATCAAAAAACACTGGAGGTTCCCATTGCTGTATTTCTTTGCTCCAATTGAAACTGGTACAGGGCTTTGTAATTCGTCACAGCTGTTGGTGTTTGAGAAAAGCACTATCTGCAAATGCCTCAACAATCGGAGCTTATCTCTGCAACCCGCAAAATCTGTTGTTTGTGCGTAGATCCTAAAAAGTGTAGCATGTTGGGTAATGAGCACATATTTGTTAGAATTGACAGCCACTTTGTCACTATCCATTTGCATAATTTCCTTCTGAAAATATGCCATCCATCGTGAGTCCATGCTTGTGCTTACCACTTATACGCCCTCAAGGGAATGAGCAATGGGTGATAATACTACCCATTGAGCTTGTATCAAATAGTTAAGCATGGATACAATAGCATCCCTTGCAAAAAAAAAATACATCGTTAGGAAAAACAATGACCCTCATGATCTTCTCCCAAAGGATTTGATCATGTTGATCTAGGCTGTTAGTTCCAATAACTTTCCTCCCCTTTGTGCTCCTCTCATCCTCTTCTCCTAAGTTACTGCAACTCATATTCTTAAGTAAGGACATTAGGATTTATCATCATTCACAATCCTCCTTTCTTGAATATCCAAATCACCAAAGCAGTTGCAATAACTAGGGCCAACATCAAGTGCAAGATTTGCAAGGTGCTCTGCCAGTTTATTGCCTTCTCTAAGAGTATGGGATAGTGTAATCTTGCATCTTGCTATTAGCTGTTTAATCTCCTCCATTATCCTGCCACAGACCAAGAAACAGATCATTCGCCTTCAACTGCCTTCAACATTATCATAGAGTCAGTGTGTAAATCAATAAGGACGAAATTACGTTCAACACATTATCTGAGAGCCTCAACCATGGCCTTAGCTTCTGCTTTATTTTTTGTTCCCTATGGAATTTCTTCATCACACGCATACACCACATCACCCTCTGCATTCCTCAATACAAATCCAATATAACATCTCCCTGGGTTGCCCCTACAAGCCCCATTAGTGTTCACTTTAATCCATCCTGTTGTAGGATACTCCCATACCACCTTAGTTATCTTCAGTTTAGGAAGATATTGCTCCATCATTGTGAGTAAATCTGGTCATTTATATGGTACATGAATGAGTCTAGGCTTCCTGAATTTGACCAGTGATTGAAGTGTAGAAGATACCTGATAGATCACCCTACTCACTATTACTGAATCACCATGTTTGAAGTTGTTCCTTCTCTTCCATAACTCCCATACAATAATGGTTGTTATTTCTTGAATTATAGGCTGCAATCTTGGTATCACCTTAGCAGTCCAGCACTTGATTATGATTTGGTGAAATGTGAGTCCATCAATCACAATTCCTGCAGAAGACAGGAAATATGGCCACACTCTTCTCGCAACATAGGACGTGAAAAACAAGTGATGCATGGTTTCCTCCATCGGATTAGTACAACACCAACACCTAGAAGCCATCAAGTAACACAACCTTCTCATTAAATCATCTAATGGTAGTTTATTCCTCCATACTTTCCACATGAAAAAGTGTATTTTGAATGGTAGACCTTTCGCCCAAATCTTTATATAAGCATTGAATGGCTCATTTCTCCTCCTCACATAATCCCAAGCTGATTTTGCACTAAACTCTCCCGTAGGCTCCAAAGTCCAGTATGGCAGATCCAGTACATCTTGTATCACTGGTGGTTTACAATATTTCAGTATGTGATTTGCAAATTCCTCCGACAGGATTTGTCAGAGAATATTTTCATCCCACTGCCCATCATGCACCACATCACACACATTGTGGATTGTTTCATCACAGAAAAAATTTGGGAGAGTGATAAAATATAAAGCCCCCAAATCTATCCAGTTTTCAAACTAGAACAGAGAAGATCCCATCTTTGTATGCCATACAATATGATGTTCAATTAACTCACTGCATTCTAGCATTTTTCTCCATACATGAGATCCCTTCCTCCATGGCACCACCATAGGATTAATCTTTTTGTAATATTTTTGGATGATAAATGAACTCCATAGACTAGGTTTAGTTCTAGAGTTCCACCATAATTTGCAAAACATAGCCTTTGAAACATCATGGAGTGACCTAAATCCTACTCCCCCTTTCTCACATGGCATACAGAATGTACTCCACGATGCCCAATGTCTGCTCGAACCACCAACAGAATTACACCAAAAGAATTGAGCAAATATCTTGTGTAATTTATTAATCACATATGCAGGAGGATTTACTGCAGAAAGAAGATGGATTCGCATACTCTGCAAGACATGAGAGATCAAGACAACCCTTCCTCCAATGGATAACAGTTTGTCTTTCCATGCCTGCAGTTTGTCTAACACCTTGTTGCGCAGCCCTTGGTAGTAATCCATCCTTCTTCTGGAATAGAAAATTGGGCAGCCAAGGTATGTAAATGGGAAATCCTGCTTGGATATCCTAGTGATCCTTTCGACTTTGTTCACCACCTATGCACTGGCTGAATGATGCATATATATGGCAGACTTGTTTTTGTTAATCAACTGCCTGAAGTAGTTTCATAAGCATCCAAGACTTCTATCACAAATTGCAATGATGTAGCATCAGAGGATGAGAAAATGATCGTATTATCAGCATAAACTAGATGGTTAATCTTAGGGATCCACTTAGGCAATCCAAAGCCACAAAAGTAAAGGTTCATATTTAGTGCATTGAGTCCCCTCGATAGTGCCTCGGCAGCAAGAATGAATAGAGTTGGTGATAAAGGATCACCCTACTTTACACCTCTTGTCGACTTGAAGAATCCATATGGTTATCCATTAAGCAGTACAGAATATAAATTATTATCTACAATGCCAAAGATCATGCCAATAAACCTTTCCTCAAATCCCATCTTCCTCAGAACCTTAGTTAAGAACAGCCAAGATAGCGTATCATAGGCTTTTCTCATATCTAGTTTGATCACAACGTTTGGGCCAGCCTTAGTTCGCAACCTTATATTAGTAATTATTTCTTGTGAGAACAGAACATTTTTAACTATGCTCCCACCCTTCACAAATCCTACCTGCTCATTTGATATAAGATTAGGAAGATATCCTACTAGGCTCTCATGAATAACTCTTGAGAAAACCTTATTGATAAAGTTGATGAGTCTAATAGGTCGCATGTCTGAGTATGAGATCATTGCTTTCTTCTTTGGTAACAATACCAGATTCGTGTGAGTTATGAACCTGGGCAGTTCCTGGCAATTGAAGAAAGCCTTCACAATTTCCACAATATCATCCCCTACTATATCCTAACATACATGAAAGAAGCATCCTCTAAAACCATCATGCCCTCCTGCACTTTCACCATTAAGCCCATAGACAACATGTTTTACCTCCTCAAATGTAGGTTGTTTCACCAATTCCTGATTATGCTTGTAATCTACCATTGCTGGTATATGATCTATGATGTCAAAATTCGAGGGGACTTGTTCTTCATGAAATTGTGCCTTGAAGAACTTGACTGCCTCATCAGCCATAACTTCATTATCTTCTACCCAATTTCCATCACTGTTTTGTATTCTTTTAAGTTGTAGTCTTTTCCTTCTTCCATTCACTTGTGCATTGAAAAACTTGGTGTTTCTATCTCCATCTTGAAACCAAGACATTCCTGCTTTTTATTTCCAAAACTCCTCCTCCAAAGTAAAATATCTGATCAAATCTGCTTGTACTTTATGCAGCCTAGCTCTATTTTGTTGTGTTGGATTCTGTTCGAATTGAGCTTCGTGAACTAATACCACCTCCTCTAAGCTTACAATCTTCTGAAAAATATCACCATATGTAGCTTTGCTCCACAAAGTTAAAGCTCTCTTTCGCTTCTTCAGTTTGTGATTAAATACAATGAATGGATTTGCAGTAAAGTCAGCACTCCAGTTCTCTTAAACAACTTCTTTAAAAGTTGGATGTTTGGTCCAGATATTTAAGAACCCGAATGCTTTCTTGATTGGCACGGCAGTGGATTACATGTCAGCAATATAGGAGAGTGATCTGATCCTATTTTTGATAGATGAGTGATCTCCAATCCAGGCAGCATTTGTTGGAATTCAATGTTAGCCAAGCATCTATCTAATCATTTAAAAATACAATCGTCCTCTGCTCTGCCATTCTACCAAGTATAAATGCTCCCTCTGAATCCTAGAGCAACTAAATTACATGTGTTGATACAATGCCTGAAATCATTGACTTCATTCAGTGAGACTGGCAGCCCACCAAATGTTTCTTCTTCATCCCATATGACATTAAAGTCTCCAGCTACCATCCATGGAAAAGTCATATCTCCAACCATAGCATATAAGGTATCCCATAATTCAATCCTTTCTATCGAGTCACATTTTGCATAAACCAGCGTGACAATAAAGCTATTTTGGGTGTCCACATTGGTCAGTTTCATTGTTTGTTGTTGTTCCAAATCAAACAGTATATCTACCATGTGATCCTCATCTACAAAAGCCCATATATTGTTATTGACATTAGCAAAAGCTTGTGCTAGACCAATCCTTCATATTGAAAATGATGCTGCCTATTCATATTGACAAGCCTTTCAAAAGCTTTTTTTAGTATTAACCGACCTCACGTTCCATATGATTGCATTCATATTTAAATATGAGATTTAGTGTGAGCCCTTCTTGTTTGAACCCCTCCATTTTGCACAGTTGAGGACTCCTTTTGCTGGTTTTTCTTTCCACAACTAGCTGATTTCCCTTTCTCCATTACTCTTGGAGATAAATTTCCTTGCTTGGCTATGTTGAGGAAGTTTTGTGCTATAGACTCGTCATCAAGATCCTTCACAGTTCTACCTAAATTCTCCACTGCTTCCTTGGTATTTACTTAAGTGTCAAGGTCAGATGTCACAAGTTTAGGAATTAGAGTTCCACCTCCTTTTTCCTTCATACTATATTGTGGGATTTCAGAGCTTAACAACAGAGCATGCTGGACCTTATTTCCTGTCAATCTCACCTCATCATTTTCAGGGATAATTGCAGCATTGTTCGTATCATCTACCTCATTCCTCACCATTGTTGCATCTCCCTTAGTTCCTCCTGGATCTACTGCATCCACCTGATCAACTGAAGGGACAATATTCTCTGATATCTGGTTGGTGTTCTGCACCACCTTAGAATCTGACTGTGCCTTTGCAATGCTACCTTCATCACCCTGATTTTCTTCCTCCACCTCTTCTTTAGTAGATAAGTCATCTTCCTCCATTGCATCTGGTATTCCCCCTTCTTCAGAATCCTGCTCTATCTGATCACTCCACAATTGCCCTCCACTTAGTTGTAGTTTCTCCTTTTCTATAGGTGCTTCAATTGACTTTGCTGTAGAAATAGTTTGTGTAGGAATTTCCTGACAAGATAGATTATAATTATCTAAGTTGCCACCTCAAAAAGTCCTGTTTACCCATTGAGAAGTCGACTCCTTTTGCAGCAGAGAAACACTCCCAATCCCTTTGTCATTAGGATTAAAAACATGAGTCTTAGGAATTAATTTTTAGCTGATTTTGGAGTACCATTCCTAGTGACACTAGGAGATACATTAGGACTGCGATCAACATTACTGTCTTCTACCAAGACCAGCTGATTGTTATTTTCCTTCTCACCTTCTTCAACCTCAAGAACAGCAAATTTATTGGTTACATGGACCTGCTGGTTTCCCACAGCTTCCTTCTCAACTGGCACTATTTCCTTCCCAGTTTTAGCTTTAATTTCCTCTTGCTGGACAGTTTTCTTCACACAATTATCTCGCGCTTCTTTCCATTGTTCTCCAATATTACCTACAACCTTTCCACTAGTATGAATCATTAAAGGACCTTTTTATTTATTATTGTCTGCCACATTAACATTGGTATCCTGTTTTTCATTGTCTTTGTGCTCTATTAATTCTGGATGTAGCCTCCAATATTTGATCATATCATGGCCTTGCAACTTACACTCTTTGCAATATTTGGGCATGAAATCATATTGAATTTTAACCCATTCAGTTCTTACCTCTCCTGTAGCTTCATTCTCTATATCCATTCGAACCTTCTTCGGCAAATCTGCTAATAGATCAACATGAATCTTAACTCGAGCACAACTAGGCCTTGTTTTATTTATAGTTTCCATGTCGAGATGCGGTGGCTTTCCAACAGCTGAAGCTAAAGAAAATAAGCACTCCTTAACAAAATACGTAGGCAACAAGTTTGGGAATAAAATCCAAGCCATAGCCATTGGCGTTTCTTCTCCGGCCTTGAACTTTGCATCATAAATAAGCTGCCTCATCTAATATTCATACCCATCCTTCGCTTTAACATAATAGGTACTTTTGGACATAATCTTAATGTAATCTACCCATAATGTCAAACGAATCAACATATGCTTATCTCTTAAGAAACCAATATTACAATCTCCTTTGATACCACATTGGATTGGAATAATTCAACGTAATTCTTGGACTTCTGGCCATCCATAAGAGAACTTAGCTACAACTGCATATTGCAAGCCTTCTATTACATTCATGTGATCCACTTCTGACTCTGTGAACTTCACAAATGGTTGTCCATGTAAGAATGTAGCACGTTTGAATGGGATTGGTTCGACAGAACTCGCCTTCACGTGCACGGAGTTATTAATAGTGGCTGGTTTCAGAACTTTGCTATAATTTAAAGGCTGGGAACAGTTATTTGTGATAGTAGGTGATAGGGAGAGGGTGGGAGGAGGCTGACCAGCCGAAAAACATGGCTGGCCGCCGGCCAGAATGGCCATAGACGAGCTCGCGAGGCAGAAGCCGATGTCTTCTCCTTTTCGCCTGTCGTAGGGTTACTGTTGTGGCACTCGAAGGGATTATTCCTGAGCATATATAATTTATCACTTCAAATTTCCGTTTAACCTTTATTTCTTTGAATAATATTTCATGTTCAAATAAAAAATATTAATGATGAATAACAACACAATTTAGTAGCCTGATTTAGCCCAAAGATACTTGTGTTGTTCTTCGCAATTTAATACGTGAAACGACTCCAATCTAACTCATAAACAAAAGAATTAAAAATGTTTATAAGAAAAAGGATTCAAAGATTTAAAGAATTACTTGTAAAATCTCATATCCACTAATCACTATTGCTCAAGTGACATACCTTTGTTATGACATTTTATCGAACACCAAATACGATTCTTAAATTTTTCCCCCAAGAGCATACACTGCAAGTAAAATTAGTGTAAGCAAACGACTCACAAACTTAAATAATTACAAAATGATACAAAGTAATCACCAAACAAAAAATTCAACATATATAAAGAATGAGCATAATTTAATTAAGGGACGACGATTTTATATACAGATGTATGCAAGTCGAAGGGGTTGAGGAAATTAGATACACATTCATTTGCAAAATGAAATTAAAAGAATGTAAAAAAGAGACATACTTTGATCTTTGTACAAAAAAAATCTTCTCCTAAATTAACATTCAGTCAGCCAGTTACGACCTTCAAACTAGAGTTTATTCAAATACCTCTATCTTCAAATTCATGGAATATTGAAAGATTAATCCTTGGTATCTTTGAATTGACGAGATTGTCTCTTTCGAATGGATAGATCAAGCGAGAAAACTATTAGAAAATTGATTACTCCTAGTATGTAAAGATAGAAGCCCTAGGCGGGATGAGTTAGAGAAAGAGAGAGGGAAATGAAATTATAGAATTTTCTTTTGGAGGGAGGATAAAAGTAAAAGTTTGGTTCTTTTGCTGGCCATTTTATCTATATTGCCCCAAAAAACTATTTTTTACTGGCCATGTATCCTACCTCGAGATCCAGGGGAGAAATATGTCTCAATTATTTCCTTTTTATCAAAAATTTTTCGATCATGTATCCTACATCGATATCTCAGAATAAATGCCAAGTGTCAATACCAATCAGATAAGAAATACCATAAAATACCGAGCGTCAGTGAAAAGTTTATCTCGTGAATATTCGGACTATTAGCGGTATAACGCACGATTCTGCTGAGGTCGGTCGGCCCGATCCGGAGTAGTGTGTATACTGCCGAGAGATACACCTCTATATACTGTCGAGGCGTTCGGCCCGCTCCACAATAAAAGAAGGAATTTATCCCATTCCGAGAGATACTGCCGAGGTATTCGGCCCGCTCCACAAGAAAGGAAGGAAGTTTCCGAATCACAAGAAACGCGCTTACAATAAAGTACATGAGCACAACAATAAGTACATCTCTTTACATTTATCGAATACCTTAGCAACAACTCAGGGTACTAAACCTGCTCCAAACCTGCTCCAAATAGAAGATGAAGATAGCACTCCAAACCTGCTCCAAAATTGGCTCCCATGGACAAAATGAAGTAAAATTGAACCCAACTCTCGTTTTAAAGAGAACGCTGCCCGGCCACAATTTCTTCTTGTGCGGTTCATCAGCCGCTCCTGCGGCTCCGCACCTAGGGAAATTCCATCGCAGGTGCAGTTCAAGCTCGGCCCAACAGCCCCTGCATCTGTGCCCCATGCAGCGCATTTGCGCTTTCACTTCTGCGATCCTCAAGCGCATATGCGTGTGCGCACCTGCGCGCGCGCACCTGCGTGTTTGTGCCCGCTTCTGTGACCCCAGGCTTTTTGGCCAACTTCACTTCTGCACTTGCCTTGCCACTTCTGTGGCGTCGCACCTGCGGCCCTTTTTTCGCAGGTGCGATTACACTAGAACTCAGGCCCTTCAGCAACACAACAAAACTCCAAGTTGATCCGTTGACCGCCCGAAACCAAACCGAGGCCCTCCGGACCTTAACCAAATATACCAACACGTCCCAAAACACATTACGAACTTAGTCGAAGCCTCAAATAGTGCCAAACAATATCGAAACTACGAATCACCCTTCAATTCAAACTTAATGAACTTTGAAATTTCAAACTTCTACAATCTATGCCGAAACCTATCAAATCATGTCCGATTGACCTCAAATTTTGTACACAAGTCATAATTGACATTACGCACCTATTCCAACTTACGGAATCGCAATCCAACCCCGATATCAAAAAGTCTACTCCCGATCAAACTTCTCAAAAACCTTCAAAGTTCCAACTTTCGCAAAATGACCCCGAAATGACCTCCAAATCCACATCCGGACGTGCTCCCAACACTAGAATCACCATACGGAGCTATTCCCAGACTTAGAATCCAAACGGACATCGATAGCATTGAAATGCAGTCCAACCCAAATTTATGAAATCTTTCCAAAATGCCAACTTCCACAATAGGCGCCGAAACGTTCCCGGGTCATCCAAAACCCGATCTAGACATACGCCCAAGTCTAAAATCATCATACGAACCTGTTGGAACCTTCAAATCTCGATTCCGAGGTCGTCTACTCAAAATCCCACTTTAGTCAATTCCTCTAACTTAAGGCTTCCGAAATTAGAATATTCTTTCCAAATCAACTCCGAACTTCCCGAAATTAAATTCCGACCATGCGTACAAGTTATAATACCTGAAGTGAAGCTGCTCAGGGTCTCAAACCTCTGAATGACGCACTAGGGATCAAAACGACCGGTCGGGTCGTTACATTCTCTCCCACTTAAACATATGTTCGTCCTCGAACGTGCTAAGAACTGCTCTAGAGTTTGTCCAAAATTATTGTTTAACACCTCGTGGACCTACTCCTGCTACCACAACCCAGTTGAGCACATTTGCTCGAGCAAACCTTAAAATCCTCCCTTTTATCTAGTCAAATAAGCCTTAGAGCCAAATTCCAACATCTGAAATTCTCTACCAGGTCTGGTTCCAACATACGAACACCGTATTAATCACTACACGATGCACCAATACATGTTTGCATACCTTCGCAGAATCCACACCATGCACCGCATAATTTATATGAACATAATAACATCCCTTGATAACAACAGCCAAAATCCCACAAATTCGATGCTCACATCACACCTCATGACTCATATAAGTCCTGTTCCAACTCTTACAATACTGCCACGATGGAGGAGATGTGTAGGAATTCATAACCAACTGCCGAGTCAACAAATCATTGAGTCTCTCCTCCGTACAAGAACCATTACCTCATTATGAACCAAATAACGATATTTTCTCTTTAATATGCTTCATATAAATCTGATCGCACGGATCCCAGGTCCAATAATCTCGTCTCACCCAGTACAAGTTGCTCAGGCAATAAGCCACCTCAGACACTGCCAAAAATCTCATATGATGCCACAATGTGCCAACAAGCTACAACCCCAAATGTGATACATAAGAAAACGAACTCTGGAAAGAACTACCCAACCCACGTAGTTAATTTAAACAGCCGAAAAGATGTCATGAACCTTCCTCAGAAAATGAGAAGCAAATCACACAATAATAGATATGGGAAACTATACTCAATATCACACTGTTGCGGCGTGCAACCTGATCCACACATGATATCGTTGAGGTATGCAACCCGATCCAACCATGATACCCGTGGCGGCGTGCCACCCGATCCAAACAACGTATCCGTGGCGGTGTGCCACCCGATCCAACCATATACCTGTGGCGACGTGCCACCAGATCCACACATAATACTTGAAAGAAAACAAACATCGAGCTGTAACGCTTATACTCATGAAAATCCCGAATATCAACCATAAGCATGACAAGTGCATAATACAAATCCTGGGGAGACGGGTAGCGTCATACACTATAAAACTCAAGCACAACTAAGGTGCAATAAATGATCTGCATCTCGAGAGTCATCCTGCTAATATAACACCACAAACTATACGGGATCTCAATATGAGTGCGAATAATCAAACTGCCTCACAACCCACATGGCACAATAGAGACTACACGGAAGGGCCGTTAATATAAATAACATCCAAGGCCCGAAGACCCCTCCGAAAATAGCGATGTGCTGAAATGAACATATCCAGCCTGATATAGAGCCCACATTCACATTTAGATCCATCCACAGACCTCAAGTCGATTCTGATCGTACCGCACTGGGCTAATAACCTTTCAAGGATCCACAACAACCCTTTTTCCCATGACACACAAGAACAACCGCCAAATCCGGAACAAACTTCCACAATTCACAACCAACTGAATAGAGCGCCTTTCAGTCCTAAACTCTCACATTAGTGATAGTACCAAATCTCTATACTTGGTTTTAAATCTTTAATCAATCAAGTGACTACATGTCACACTTATACAATCTTCCCGTGGGATATGCTCCCAGACCTTCCGCACCAGGTAACCAGCCTACACATCTATACCACCGGCCGCACTAATGCTGTAAAACAAATCAAAAAGCCACAAATAAGTACACAAAGCCTCTTACACAGGACATCGATCCCAGGTGACGCCCAAGACAATACCAGCTTACTCTAACCATCTGAATCCTTTCTTGCTCATCCGAGCTCGTGATATTCTCGCCAACACCAAACGGCAACCTTGATCCTCAACTTCTAATTCCCATGCCGCTCACTGTGCCTAGCATGCCAATACGCAACAGTACAAGAATTTCACCATAACTCCTGAACCACTAATAGAATAAACACTTTATCATAGAGAAACCTTTTACTTAGCTCATCTCAGAAGAACCATTGCAACACGTGACTGAATTCCCATAACCCCAGAAAATACAAATCCTCAAGTAGTGGTCTAAACCACCATAACTCTTCCGGGATCCATATACACATAACAGCCCATAATACTATAATGCCTCCAAATAAAATCAGTTACGGCGGTCGTCAAGCCTCGCACGCACTGCCACAAACCACATATAGAACTTAACAAGCTGAAAGAACTGATCATTGCCACCATTATGCCAATTCAACCATTGCTAACCGATTAGACTTCTTCTAATTTACTCTGGACTTGACTTAGGAATAATAATAGCTCCATTCAAAATATCATGAACCCAAATCTGCACTCACCCTGAGTGACCTTATTCCACGAGACCACGTTGTCTCAAAACCCACGAACCATCCCATACCCTCCTTATGCGCATATTCGCATCTTTAACTGGTACACCCATTCTGAAAATCCCTCTATGAATCCGAAGTTATTTTCTCCCATTCCTCAAATGCCACACCGCAGACCAACGATAATGTAGATTACTCCAAGCCACCTATCATAATCTACTGCAAAAGCTCAAATAATTAACCAAACTACTGGCTCGAAATCCTTAGGCACCGCACTTCGATTTTGAACCTACTAGGACCATTGTTGAGAGTCACCCACTCCGACTTGTCCCCGAATATAATCAAACTCCAAAGCCCTTCTAGCATATGAACACCCTCTCAAAGAAGCAACCGGCTGAATTCCTCTCCTTATACATCACATCCACACGAAGCATAAACTCTAGATCTTCCCAAAACCTGAACATGAACTGATAAGGTCAAAGATAGTACACATTCCTCAAATCCTTTGCTCAAATTACCACTGATGTTTTCTTTCCTTAGTCGTAATAACCCATCAATACACCGATAACTAGAAACCGCACAAGTTAACAACTACGCAATCCAATCATAGATGGTGGGGCTTTCCCACTTAGCTTGAAGCTACAATTACATAACCCTGGGACCCGCCAAGGTTCCTCCTTCCCCATTGACATAAGCTAAAAGTCCAACAACGCATTCCAAACTCGAAGTCATGTTGCATCCAAATAAAATCCATGGTCCTAGTCACTGCCCATAACGATTCCCAAATTGCTCTAAGCGTCCCTCAAGGAGTGAGGCTATCCTACCACAGAACCCATATGATACTCTACCACTCTCCCACTTTGGTCAAACCCTCTCCCTTAGGCAACTCCTCGACTTCTACTTTTCACACTTGACCTCCTGACAATTCAACCACCGCAAGACACCTCCCACATGTCCTTCCTCGTCCTTCGCTGCACAATTGTTGCTCCAAACCCGCACCCATCTCTGTAACATCTGAACATGTGAGTCAGCACCAAATCTAAACCTCTTAGAAGATCATCTTTCTTGATCCATCAATACTAGAAGTACCAATTCTATTTCGAAATTGCTACACTCCGTTATCTCTGACAACCGCTTCTCAGGCACCATTTCACAACACCCTGCCCCGCAGGCAAATTGAAAAAGGCCATAACATCGAAGAACATTAACGCGTTCAATCAAGGACGACGACACCACATCACGGATGAAAATTCCACCACGCTCAAAATACCAAGTCTCGTCACTCCATCAACCTAAGCCTGAACATTCTCAATCTGGTTGCCTTTCCTCCGCCAGAAATAAAATACTGAATCTCTGAATCATGCACTGAGTAAAACCTCCTTTCAAGTTATTCACTGCCTCGACGCATAGGCAAGCATCCTACCATTACACAAATACTGTGCGATAGCAACACACGAATCGTCATAACAATCAATGTTGAATCTCAAAACCTTAGATAATACTAATACTGAGCTGAAATGACAGAATGACTTTTCGCAAGGCGACAACTCTAGCCCAATCAAATACGCAGGGAGAAATATCCTGCACCACATCTGTAGTACCATTACAATTCCTCGATTCCCAATTTATGACAAGCGCTTCTCGTCGCATAAGATTGAATAGGAAGGAGATGAAGGTATAAGCCTCAAAGGAATCAAATCGCACGATGAGGAATCAAGAAGGGAAGTGCTCCTAACAGCCCTGTAGCCTCTCGAAGATAAGTACAGACGTCTTCGTACCGATCCGCAAGACTCAACTAGACTTGCTCATGACTCGTGAGACCTAAGTGAACCTAGTGCTCTGATAACATGTTGTCACGACCCAAAATCCATAATAGGTCGTGATGGCGCCTAACACCGCTGTCAGGCAAGCCATCCATAATTAATTAACTAAATTACTCCTTTTAATATTTGAAATTACGATTTCCTTCAATTTAATAATAAAATAAGAACTTCACGGAGTAGATAAAAATAATTTCATAATTTCAATACCAAACAACCCATAATCACCCAAAACCCGATGTCACAAGTGCATGAGCATCAACTAGGAAATATAATAAAAATGCAACATCTGTCTGAAATACAAATTAGACAGGAGAAATGTAAAATAACTCTGATGGAGACTCTGCATGCTGCGGATCGTAACATGAAATGCAGCTCACGGTAAGTCCCCGCAACATCCGTGCCTCTGCGCCCAAAAGACCACCGGGTATATATGCACCTGCACAAAATGTGTAGCAAGTATAGTATGAGTACGTAAATTAACGCATACCCAGTAAGTATCTAGCCTAACCCCGGATGAGTAGTGACAAGGGGTCGACATCGACACTTACTAGAGGTCCAGTAAAATAAATAACACGATAATTCATATAATTGAAAAGTACACAGCAATAGGGTAGAAATTTGAAGTTTCATAATGTTTCAATTATTTCCTTTTTATCAAAAATTTATTGACCATTATCCTACCTCGATATTTCAGAATAAATACCAAATGTCAATACCAATCAGATAAGAAATACCATAAAATCCCGGGCGTCAGTGAAAAGTTTATCTGGTGAATATTCGGACTACTAGCGGTATAACGCACGATTCTGCCGAGGTCTTTCGGCCCGATCCGTAGTAGTGTGTACACTACCGAGGGTCGAACGGAATGAACTAGAGATGCACCTCTATATACTGCTGAGGCGTTCGGCCCGCTCCACAAGAAAGGAAGGAATTTATCCCATTCTGAGAGATACTGCCGAGGCGTTCGGCCCGCTCCACAAGAAAGGAAGGAAGTTTCCAAATCACAAGATACACGCTTACAATAAAGTACATGACCACAATAATAAGTACATCTCTTTACATTTATCGAATACCTTAGAAACAACTCAGGGTAATAAAGCTTGACCTGATATCAAAAGGTCCACCCCCGGTCAAACTTCTCAAAAACCTTCAAAGTTCCAACTTTCGCCAAATGACTCCGAAATGGCCTACGGACCTCCAAATCCACATCCGGACGCGCTCCCAATACCAGAATCACCATACGGAGCTATTCCCAAACTCAGAATCACAAACGGACATCGATAGCATTGAAATTCACTCTAACCCTAATTTATGAAATACTTCCAAAATGCCAACTTCCACAATAGGCGTCGAAACATTCCCGGGTCATCCAAAATCCGATTCGGACATACGCCCAAGTCCAAAAATATCATACGAACCTGTTGGAATTTTCAAATTCCGATTCTGAGGTCGTCTACTCAAAATCCCACTTTAGTCAATTCCTCCAACTTAAGGCTTCCGAAATTAGAATTTTCTTTCCACATCAACTCCTAACTTCCTGAAATTAAATTTCGACCACACGTACAAGTCATAATACCTGAAGTGAAGCTGCTCAGGGTCTCAAATCACCTAATGACGTACTAGGGCTCAAAACGACCGATCGGGTCGTTATTCTTCAAGTTCTTCATATAGGCAGTGGTTGATGTCTTGAGTTTTTCCTAGCTAACAAGATCTTCATTGATTGAGAGCAAGATTGAAATATTCCTTTGATTGAGGCAAGTATTTTTCTAAGAGATTGACCCAAGAGACGTCACTAAATCAAGTCAATAGATAATGAGTGGATTCATAGAACGCGATCTCCTTCCTTGTACTTGCCACTTCCTTCTGAGGGATTCTCGGATGATTGTGTTGATTGAGAGTTGATATCTCATCTTCCCTTTTTGGCGATAGATCTTTCAGTATGCTGAGACAAGTTGTCTGATTGATGCTCCTTTGATTTTCCTATCATTTCGGATATTGATCTTAAATTTGATCTTCCTCGTGTCTTGATCACTTGATTCTAGAAAGATCACTTGCATTCCTTTATTTTTGCAGTTATTGCCTCTTCTTATTCCATTTATCTATTTTCCAGCACAGATTGGAGTAAGATTAGTATTACCATTGCCAAATATGTCATCATTAAAACTTAGGTGTAACAAACAACTCAGTTATGAAACCTCAAATGTCTACGGAAGCATTGAATTGAAAAATATTGATTTCTCTTAACCAACTAGACCAAAAGTCCTCGTATTGAACAATTTCAGTCCCAAAGTCAATGGAGGCAAACTATTGCCACTACAGCAAATATAAGCTACGATGATATTTAATTAATGACCTTTATAATAAATGTCGGAAAAAAAGATATTTTATTGACATTTGTTATAAAATGTTACAAAAATACTGACATTTAATTAAAAATGACAAAAATATTGTGACATTTGATTTAAATGTCACATAATTAGTAATAAAATGATATTTAATTAGTGACATTTATGATAAACGTAAANCCCAATTTCTCTGGCCCATCCAAATCCCTCCACTCCAACTGTGAACCTCAAGCACCTTCAGGAATAGCAGTATGAATGAATCCTAGTGTACTGTTTTCTTGCTTAATTCTCTCTTTCCATTTCTTTCTATGCTGACATCGTAAATCACCATTTTTTTTTCATTATTGGTTGGATTCGAATGGTTCCTTCTTTCTGGAGTGTTTTGATTTTATGGAGGAATTGAATAATGTTTATTTACTCTGCATTTTCTTGTGCCATGTATATTCACAGTGGAATAATTGTAAGTTTAGAATTTCAAAGTGTAATCTATGTTGTGATTTTACAGTGTGAGTATAATGGTGTGGTGATTTGACATGGGTTTGTTGAATGAAAATTGTGGGGTGTTATTGTACAATATACTGCTGTGGATATCACCCTAGGAGTGTTTGACAAAATGCCTGAGTGAGCATTTTAAATACTTTGACCGTTCGTTCATTTTCGAAAACTAAATTGATGAGGTTTCCTGAATTCTTATCTGATTAATCATTTCAGCAGCAAATGTTTCTTCTAATCTCAAGGTTGCAGAACTCATGTGCCGCTCCGTTCAGAAGGAAAGCTGACAATGCTTATTGTTTGTTGTTTCCTTCCACACCTCTATTGTGAGTATCATTGAATTTTATCTTTGAGAAATTTTAAAGTTAGTAACTTGTTCAATGAAAAGAATATGCTTCCTTCAATATATTGGGAATCAAGAAGTCATACTTCTTCGCTGTTCTCTATGTGTTGTATATGTGTGTGTCTGTATGAGTTTGTATCTCGTTTTCTTTTTCCTTTTTCTCTTTCTGAATTATTTTTCGACTAAAGATATTCACTGCTAAATAATATTTTTGGATAGTAAATTTTAATTTTGTTTTTGATAAAATATTAAGTAAATTTATTAGATTTCCATCTTTCTTTAGAATAAGTCAATTCCCAAATTGTCTAATTATAGGGTGCTATTACTTTGATAATTGTTTCTCTCCTTATGGTAGTTATGCAATCAGCTGAACATGTATAAAATTTACTAGGTTGAAATGTACTGATGGCTATGTTGGTTGATTAGCTGAAAAATAAGGTTGCACACATGTGATTATCCTGTGCATGTGTGATATGGAGTCGCAGTGAGAAAGTTTAGTGTGTGGCATCTTATGGTAAGGTCCTTGTAGACTTGACAGCAAACAACTTCTTTCTTTATTAAAGTTGTATTTTCTATTCATAAGGATTTTTTGTTTGTCGATGGAAGATAACTTGTGGAATATTTCAGGTGGTTGTTCTACCGCATAAAGATGATGTTACTGGTAACAGAAGTTGCACTATATAACTTCATTTTTAAAAACATTTTTGCATGTAGATTATGATATCTTCTTTTAACTTTCAACTGCTTGCTAATTTATTACCCATTTTATAAAAATATAGGTTGACTATCTCAGACAACATTCTTGTCTCAATTCAAGGGAAATATCAAATGGGCGGATGCACAAGTGAATTGGAGAAGTTACTAAAGGGAAGTAGGAGAAAGAGCTGAAAAATGAGTTGTGGAAGTGAAGAAATCTCTTGTTGCAGAACTAGTTTCATTTTACATGAATCCAGCCTAATAGTTTGATTCAAGCATTGTTTAATTATAAAGACGTACAGTTATGCACAATTTCATTCTTGGAATTAGTTATAGAGATCTTCTGTATACAAATAGTTTATTTCAGTTCACATTCTCTATGTTGATAGACATTTGTAATTATATAATTTTGAAATTTGATGGTTATGATTTCTACATTTCTAGTAAATGTCCTTCGATAATAAGTGCAAACGTCAATGAGTAATTTTGACATTAACAAGATGTGTTGCGTAAGTGTCACTAACCTCAAAAAGTCCCGACACTTCTAAATGTCGTAAATAAAATAATTTAGAAACTAATATTTATTTACCGACATTATGTTAAATGTCAACAAATATAATGTGACATTTCCATAAAAGTCATAAATAAATGTCGTAAATCTTTTAGCATTTATGTGACTTACTTTGTAGCATTTATGTGACTTAATATGACACAATTGTAGTGAGCTGTGGTGGGTGTTTCTCGCTCTAGAAAGAGCACAATTATATCTCTAATAGAGAGTTTCTACGACCCAGTTGCTGGTCAGGTTTTACTTGATGGACGAGATTTAAAGTCGTACAATTTGAGATGGTTGAGGAACCATCTAGGAGTTGTGCAGCAGGAGCCAGTTATCTTCTCCACCACCATAGGGGAGAACGTAATTTACGCAAGGAACAATGCCAGTGAAGCTGAGATGAAAGAAGGTGCTAGAATAGCAGATGCTCGTCATTTCATTAGTAGTTTGCCTCATGGATATGACGCACATATTGGGATGAGGGGCGTAGATCTGACCCCTGGACAGAAGCAAAGAATTGCAATAGCTCGTGTTGTATTGAAAACTTCACATATTCTATTATTGGATGAAGCATGCTCCTCCATTGAATCCGAATCAAGCCGAGTGGTAGAGGAGGCTCTTGATACTCTTATCATGCGAAACAAAACTGCGATTCTAATTGCCCACCGAGCAGCCAAGATGAAGCATGTTGACAACATAGTGGCACTTAATGGAGGAAGAATTGTAGAGGAAGGCACCCATGATACACCAATGGCAAAAAATGGCTCGTATGTACGCTTGATGCAACATCACTTCGGGAAGGGATGATGTCGCTGAAGTGATGAAACAGAAATGATGAGAGCCTCTAGTATCTGTAATCATACTTTATGTCGCTGAAGAACTTGCCAATTTTCCACCATGTTAGGAACCGCGGCAGACTCCCTCCAAAATGGTGCTCCGCTACTTGGAAAAGATGATAAAGATATCTGATCATATGTTTTAATTAGGAAGGTTCAGGCAATGAAACTGATAGTTTGAATGATCCATTCCTCAAATTAGTTGAGGAAGGGGTTTATTGCATTCCGTTAGGCCAGAAGATAGGATGTCGAAACATATTCTTTTGGAGGTGGGGTTCAGTAGATTGGGATTATTTCTTGTCTCATCATGGTATATTTGATTTGTTATTTTAGAGTTGAAATGAGTGTAGCCGTAGCTTTGATTATCGATTTTTCCTTCTTTTCCTTCTCTATTCTTTTGGGGTGTGTTGTAGTTTAGTTTCTCTGTTCATTTTTTCTACTGAAGTTCCCCTGGCCATCGTGCTATATATTTTTCTTACATGTTAATTGTAGAAAGCTGGAAAATAATTGAAACACATACATTGTAATATTCTCGATATTTGCTTACTTGGTTTCGGAAACATTTTTGTAATTTCATTCAATCGCCTTTGCCTAGAGGATATGTGTATCTTGAATTATGTATTCATTGCAAGAGGATATATAGAATCCATGACTATATGATTAGCTGCCTTAGATACAAGTTGAGAGCAATTCTAGATGTCCAGCACCTGAAAAGAGTCGGCCACCAATTTAAGTTTGTTACGGAATTTTCTCCATCGCCTTTCATTTGCTCCCACGATTAGTGTGTAGTATCTCCCTGTACAAAAATTTCTTAATTTGAAGGCAGAAACTAAAATTGTGATGTAAACTGTGCTGGGCGACTGGTTACCATTTCCAATTGCTATGGTAGCGAATGCTGCCCGAGAAAAATTTGGAGATGTCAATACATATTCAAAGGTACAATAGTGTTTCCCATCCGTACTTCTCTACATCAGTTAGAGAAATAACGTCAATACATATTGAAAGGAGTTGTTCATCTAATACTGTTTATCCAAAAAATCGGATAACAATTGAATTTATACGCTGTTTTAAGGATACGTGATATAACTTGATACAAATTAAGGAAACAGATTAGAATTGAAATTGACGATAAAAGAATATATGCAAACCACACAAATCAAATAACATTGGCCCTCAAGTTCGATCGCCTTTGAACCAAGAGATGTCTCAACTGATGTATGAACAGAATAACAAGATGATAAAAGCTAGAGAATGACAGTATATTGCTTTATGTTGCGTAGTATATTCTTTTACAAATGATCAGACCCCTTTATATAGTAGGGGAGTCCTACTCTTGATACAATTCCATATGAGGTAAAAAATCTCATAATTAGCTAATTAATCGGCCTATCCTTGATACGTGTCGAGATTTTCGCCGTGATCTACAACCGATCGCGGATATTTCGCCCTTCTATTATTCGGTTTGGCAAATTTCTCTCGATCTCGCCTGATCTCGATTTTGTTCGGTCCCGGGGTCTCGAACTTAACGGTATAACCTCGCACCTCGATTCGATATAATTCGAGGTCGAACCTTAACCTATCATATTCCAGTCTTGATTAGTCAAACAAGGGGCGAGCCCGGTTTAGACCGTATACAGACAGTCCCCTCATTTCTCGGAGAGAAGATGACGAGAAACGATATGAACTTCTGAATCCCGTCTCGATGGACCATGACGTAAGTGACGAACGGTCACTGAGACACCCGACTATGCCGTAAGCAACAAACGGGCACAGAAATGTCTCGTCGACCCAGTTACCAAGGCATTAAATGCATGTCTGTTGCTGGTAGTCTACTATGGGTTCTGAACCGTCATCAGCAAGCTATAAATACCCTAACTTTCCTTCATTCAAACTTTATGTTCAAAGCTCCTCCTATTCTTGTTCTTCAAAAATCCCTTTGCTTTGCAACTTTTGCACCGAAATTTCTTGAACTTTTAGCAAACCGCATACCTTCCTAATTTCCTTTTCTTCTGTTCTACAATGGTGAAAACTTCTAAGACTGTACCATAAAAGGAGGCCGCCTCTTCATCACGACCCGCCGGCGACGGGGCTGCGGCAGAACCTTACCCTGAGGAGTTCGTTCTGGCAGGGTGCCCGACCGTTGCCGAATTTAAGGTTGAAAAGACTTCCTTGGTACCAGGTCGATGCGAGCCGGTCTCAAGGTACATATGTACAATCACCGATGATCTCCTCACCAAGGTTAAAGAGGATTACAACTGGGCCAACAAGCATGTGATGGTACCTTCGCCCGAGGAGTCGATCACTACCCACGTTGAGGGTTTTCTAAGTGTTTACACTTACCCCTTCAAGTTGGGTCCCTTAGACCCGATCATCATTGCCTTCTGCAAGAGGTACGATGTGACTCTTGGCCAGATTCACCCTTCCTTCTGGAAAATAGTGATTCTCCTTCGATTCTTCGTAAACAAAATCGAGGGGTGTCCCTTCACCCTCAATCATCTTATGCGCCTCTACAGTCCCCGACTCTATCGAGGGGGGCTGATCAAGCTTGGTCGTCGGGCCAGTAGGGCCCCGTTCTCGAGTATAGACGAGGCTCGAGACCAAGGTTGGATGGGTCGATATTTTCGAATAAAGACTTTAGACCCGATCCCTGCCGAGGACATGCCATTTCCCGAGAAATGGAACATGAAGCGTAAGTAGTACTTTGCCTTGAAGATTTAATCTTGTTGTTTTCCCTCTTATATCCTTTCTTATCGATGTTTTTGGTGTTGCAGCTATGGCCCAGATGCTGGACTTAGTTCCTCAACTCAAGGAATGGATCGAGGGCCTTGTGTCACAGAGACCATATTCCGAGCGTGCTTGGATGGAATTATCGAAGGGTCGATGGGAGGCCCGTAATCATGGTAAGTTTTCTTTCCTGATGTAATAATGTTTGATTTCCTCCTTTCGCTGTCGAATTCTTATCTATTTTCTCTTGTAGGTCTCCCCAAGGATGTTGCTATGAGGCCTCCATCCGGTGATGAGGATGTGCCTCTCGAGTCCCCTGCTCCGAGGTAGGGTGATGAAAAGAAGAGAAGAAGGGCTCTGAGTTCCCCGAAATCGAAAAATAAAAAACTGAAGAAGAGGTCGCGCAAGCCCAAGGGAAGCATCGATGCTCTATCCTCAGACTCAATTCACTGGCTAAGGGACGAGTCTGAAGAAGAAGAAGAAGAAGAAGAAGAAGAAGAAGAAGAAGAAGAAAAATCCAAGCTGGTGGCCCGCGTGCGGGCAGGTGTCGTGATACAAGGGCCCTCCGAAATGGCGGGTGCTGAAATTGTCCTGTCTCGACATAAGGAGGTCGATGAGGGAGTTTTAGCCGAAGCTCCCAAACCAGAAGTGGGTGAGTCCACTCCGCCCCAAGCTAGGGGGGTCGATAGAGAGACCGGGGCCGACAATTCTCTAGCAGAGGAAGGTGGACCGAGAGATGAGCTTGGGGTGATCAACCTTATCGGGTCCCCTCAGATTTCAGATGACATGATTCGCGAGGCCGGTATGTTAGAAAGCCGTTCCTACGAGGGGACTCAGGGGTGACTGATATCCACCACTTTTTGTATGGGCTAGAGTCCACTGCCTCAGAAGATGTCACCGGGCTAAGTGACTTGTCGATGTTTAGGAAGGTACCATCATCGGGTGCCAGTGGGTCTTTATCGAGCCCAAAGCTGGTGGATTGATTCCCGGCCCCAAGTGTTGACCCTGACCGCAGGCGGTCAATAACTTTCTCTGTCCCGAAGGATGCCTGGGTTTTCTCTGCCCTCGTGGGGGTTGCTAGCTACCTCAGTTGCTTGGTGACCGAAGAGGACCAGGCCATGATGGATGCGGTGGAAGCACCCTGCTTATTCAATGAGGCCCAACATGCTTTGAATCGGGTAACTTCGAGTGTCACTTCATTACTTATTTTAAACTTGAAGTTGTAAATTATCCTAACACCCTTCTTTATGCTTGCAGGCCTCGGTATTGCACCATAAGGCTTTCCTCCAAATCCGGGAGAAGTTAACCCAGCATGAGGTTGAGGTTCGGGAGCTCACCGAGAAGAGGGATACCCACAAGCTTCTGAGTGAGAAGCTTCAGGTCGAGTTAGAAGTGGCTTAGAGGGAACACGCTGATATGGCCGAGTAGGTAATTCGAGTACTTCATGATAGTGAAGACGAATTAGACATAGTGGCTAACCATCCGATCTTGTAGGTCCGACAGAGGCTTGAATAGATCGGGCAGCTCCAGGCACAGGTAGATATGATGCAAGCTGAGGTTGAGGAGTTCAAGAAAAATATGGACCTCTTAGCCTTGAAAAAGAAAGTTGTCCAAGCACAACTGGAGTTGGTCGCGGCTTAGCTTTGGGCTGCAAAGGAGAAGACCTCGGTGTAGGCCAAGAGGATCGAGGAGCTCCAATCTGAGCTTAACTCGGCTACTTCTAGCCAAGAGAGCCTGACTACGAAGCTCGAGACGGCCAAATCTGAGGTGGCCGTGGCGAATACCAAGGCCGATACTAAAGTGGCCCAGTTCAAGGTTGACGTCGACGCTATCCAAGCACAGGCCAAGGGCATGGTGGATCATACAAGGTGGGAAGCTCGAAGGAAATCCCTCGAGGGATTCCATGCTCAGGGCTTTGACATATTGGCGAAAATCGAGAATGCCAAGGTAGAAGAAGCCAGGGCCCGGAAGCTGGCTTTTCCCGAGGAAGGCTCCGAGAGCTTATCTGAGTCTGAAGGCGGGGGAGACCCCGAGGATGAAGACGCTGCCTCCGATGAGGGCCAGGCCACTTAGGTCTTTAGATGTTTTTATTATTTTCTTTTTGCATCTTTTTTAGGCCGTTTTGGCCATTGTATATTCCTATACCGAGCCATTCTGGCCTTTGTAAAAAGATTATATATCCAAGGCTTTCTTTCCCTTTTGGCTTTCAAATTTTCCCTTTGCTTATTTACTTGTATTCACAAGGGC